CAAATGAAATATTTTGTCTTAGCGAGACAAATTTTTTTGTACGCTGAGCCAAGGAGCGGGTTTGCTTGAGGGCTATGGAATCTGGTTCGTGGGGAGAGACGGGAAGCAGCCCTCTTTCTTTTCTCCACTAGGGCTAGTCTTTGTGATTAAAAATGTTCCAAATGGATGGGGAAAGATCTGTGTCTCTCTGTGCCTCCTATGCAGTGCCGGCTACACCTCTGGGAACTGTGCAGTAATTAATATTAATAACTCAGTGTAACCAGTGGGGATACTCATCAGAGAATGAGCATAAATCTTGTTAAATGATAGATGAATGAGTCCTGCTACTGTATTAGTGAACCTGGGCTGCCTTTGTAATGAAACCTGAATCCAAATGAGTCTCAAAAGGGGAGACTGGACACGTCTGCTTTCTTCCACTTCTGGTCTTTTCACTCCTTGTTTCTTGTTGTCTTTCCCCCATCTTTTTGGGCGTGTGCGCATGCGCGCGCTATTCATTATGGATTATCTCTCCTTTGTCCTTCTCCCTTTCTGTTTTTCAGAGGTTTTCATTTCTACAGTTGAGCCCTACCCTAGCATCTCTTTTACGCTAATAGGATATTTTCCCCTCAGCACCTTTGTTCTGCAAATGATGCCAGCTTCGATTGTAAGATTTTTTCCAGCGAGCACCAGTGCATTTTCCCCCCAGATTGCCCCTGATGCAGGGGAGAAGTTCCCTGTAAACATCCTTAAAGCCGCCTCATTGGTCCTCCTTCCAACCCCTTTTAAAAACTCTCCTTTTCTGCGATGCCTACGAAAAACTTGACAGGGGCTAGGCAGCCTGAGTGCTGGGACCACATCTTATGAGGCTGACCAACATCTCACAGCCTGGTGCTCCCCTGTCTATCGACCTGTTGCCTGTAGTCTTCCACTGAGATCTCCAGTCTTTTGGAGCAAGGACTGTCTCTTTGTTATGTCTGTACAGTGCCTCGCACAATGGGGCCCTGGCCTCTGGGTGCCACCACACTACAAATTATTAACCACATTCCATAATTAATGTCCATTTCCCTTCCTCTCCTATTTCATATCCACTAGTCAGGTTTGTTCGTCGGCAGGACAGAGCTCTCCCATGGACAAAATAGTTCCACCCCCAACGAGCAGCATTAATGTTGTCAGCAGCAGAGCACTCCTCCGGACAAAGCGCTGTTCACATCAGCGCCTTTCATCGGCAAAACTTTTGTCGTTCGGGGGGTGGGTTTTTTTTTCATACCTCTGAATGACAAAAGTTTTGTCATTTAGTTTCCAGTGTCGACAAAGCCAAAGTCTCTGTGAGAAGGCGCAGTGCGTCTCCTCCGTGAGGGACTCAACAAAACCAGCTGCCTTCCTGTGTGGAGAGCGGAGCCCTTAGAGGTTGAATGGGGTGGTGAGACGCAGAAACCAGAAGGCATAACCAGGACATTGCTAAATGCACCACCCACGGCATGAAAAATATTGTTTGCATGAATGGGAATTTGCATGTTTTGGGCAAGATTTACAGCCCGTCATCTATCCATGGCCCCATTTACCATAGTATGTGGGCAACTCAGAGTCTTCAGTGGATTTATCCTCATAGCACCCGTGTGAGGTAGGGTGGTGCTGTTATCCCATTTTACAGATGGCAAACTGAGGAACAGAGAAACAAAGGCTACATCTACTCTTGGAGCGAGGGGTGTGGACGTATTTGCACAAGCTCTCATTGAGCCGGTGCACTAAAAAGAGTAACTTAGGCACAGTAGCGTGGGCAGCCACACTGGCTAGCCGTCCTGAGTATGTACCCACAGGCGCCAGGCAGGTTTGAACTCAGGGCAGCTGGCCTGTGCCGCTGTTCACCATGCTGCCTGGCTGTTCTCCATGCTCCATGGCTACACCACTATGTGTCATGCGCTAGCTCAGGGAGAGCTAGCAGGAGTATGTCTACGTGAGAAGGCAACCGCGCCCCTCGCGCCAAATGTAGACATAGCCTAAGTGACTTGTCCAAAGTTAAACAGGAAGTTGGTGGGGAAGCAGGGAACTGACCTAGGGTTTCCCGAGTCCCAGCCTGGCACTGGCCTATATTTCCCTTCACTTGCCTTGCACCTTACGCTGTGATTTTCACCAATGCCAAGCGAGTGCAGAGTGGGTGTAAATTACAACCCAATCAGCATGGTAGCATTTTACACCCACCGTGCATTGGTGTAAATGATGGTACAAGGCATAGGGCAATAGTGAACAGAGCCCAGTGAGAACAAGCAAGTGAAGGTAAGGGGCATTGGGATCAGCTTTCTCTTCAGGCTGAGTTATACTCCCCAGTACACACACAATGACTGTGGGCCTGATTCAAAACCCATTGAAGTGAATGGACATCAGTGGGCTTTGGATCAGGCCCTAAATGAGTGTTGTAGCTAAACAGAGGTTGCATGTGAGTTTGGAATCCATCCCCCACCCTTGCCTGAGAGCAGGGTGCAGTGCTGTTCCAATCTGACTGCTCTTGCAGCCCTAGGCTGGAATAGGGGATATACCTCTTAGTTATGACCATAATAACAGGTGGAGCCAGAGAGACTATACGTCCCCCGACCACTCCTTCACAGCCATCTCAATACCACGTCTGTTCGGTGCTCACTCCATGACGCAGCCTGAAGCTGTATGGGACACCGAAGGTTGCAGTTCTGGGCTACAGTCTTGGAATGAGACAATGATTTCCCTGTGGTTTGGTGTTTGCGGATCAGTCCCTCTCCTCTCTTCCCAGCGAATGGAGTCAAAACTGCTCTGTCTGGAAAGCACTGGCTCTTTTGTGTAAGCAGCTCCCGTGAAACAACACTCAGAGAGGATTCTCTGTTTCTCCTGCTAATGTTGACAGCAGCTTGAGCATATAAGTGTTCAGAGGAGAACACTGAGGAATGCGGAGGGTAGGGGCGTTAATGCATGTACAGTACAAAACATTTAGTCAGCACATTTTCTCCATTTGGGCCCAGAGGGCAGTCTAGCGCAATGTGGGTCTTGCCTGCTCATGGGAGCCAGTGAATTAGGCAGCCACTCCCATTGGAGTACACAAACATTGCTCAAGGATTAAAAATCTCATGCAATGCAGGACCCCTCTATTTCCGAGGCTTGCTTTCCCATGCAATAAATCTACAGTGTCTTCTGTAGCAATTCCTTTATGTTCCTTGCTGGCTGGTTATGCAATGGACTTTTTAGCAATTGTATCACTGTAATAATATTTCCCAGGTCTATACCAGCCTGCATCCTGGGATCTCAGTGTATTGCAAACACTTATGAATTAAAATTCCAAACCCTCCTGTGAGGTAAATAAATGTTATCCCCATTAGAAAGATAGGAAGATTAAGGCAATAAAGCAGTTAAATGACTTGCCCAAGGTCAGACAGCAAGTCAGTGGCAAAAGAACATTAGGCTCCAATCCAGCAAAGCAGTTAAATATGTAATTTACAACAGGCCAATAGTGCCATTGGAGTCAATGGGACTACTCAGATTATGTTCACAGGCATACTTAAGACACCTACCTAGAGTTCATTGAAGATAGGAGTCTTTCCATTTACTTCAGTGGATTTGGGATTGGGTCCTAAGTGCTTTGCTGGACTGAAGCCTAAATATCCTCCTGTTTCTGTGCTTTCACCACTTGGCTATGCTTCCTCTCCTCTTCCCTTCTCTCCATGTTTTTGTTACTCTCCAATTCTGTGGGCTTTAATTTATTAATGACTCTTTCATACTTGGGTCAGATCCTGCATCTGAGCTGCATTCAAAACCTCCTTGTCTTCTATGTAAGCTCCCTGCAAGATCCACTAAGAAACTGTCCATGACTCTCTACTGATATTTACATTGTTTTCCTAATATTCCTTTATGTTTGGTTAGAGCCTGCTTTTATTTTCTTCTTTGTGCTTATGCTGCCATATTGTCTTCTAAAAAAAAAGGTATTCATTTAGTTCTCATTAATAATCTTAATCATCTTCCTCCGTCAGCATGCAGTTACATTCTTTCTGAGCACCCAGCTAAGTATCAACCAAAACTGGTACCATTGTGGAGGAATCTGGTTTCTGTTTTGATATTTCGCATGCACATTAGCTTGTGGTCACTATATCAGATATTCAGGATATGAAATCTGTTTTATTTGTAATTCTTATTTATACTGTAGTTCCGGTTGAAACACCAACTGAGCTGCAAACATAGCGTTCCCACAGACCATACCATAATAAAGCTACTTGTAGAATGCTATTCAGTTAAGATTTGAATGAACCCACATGACTCTTGTACTTAAGTGTTTATATTGGCTAAAAGATGTTTACATTAATGCCCACTTCAAATACTAGGCCTGCTCTTATTCTTTACTAAGTAAACATTTATGTTACATAAAACATGTAACTGATTGATTTATGGAACATTTGGGAAAGATGACAGGGGCAGCTCAGTGGTTTGGGCATTGGCCTGCTAAACCCAGGGTTGCGAGTTCAAACCTTGAGGGGGCCATTTAGGGATTTGGGGCTTGACCCTGCTTTGAGCAGGGGGTTGGACTTGATGATCTCCTGAGGTCCCTTCCAATCTTGATCTTCGGGGGGGGAGGGTAACAGAGTGGACCTCCACTCGCTCCATCCGTGTGTGTTTATCCTCTTTCCTTGCCCCCCCCCTCCGGTATAGGGGGGGGGATTTAAAGTGCAACCCGCCCCCCCCCCGCAGTGTTACCCCTTAGCAGCCAGGGCGGCAGCAGGAAAAACTACAAGTCCCGGCGTCCCCGTCGGCCTGACCCTGGCCCCCAGCGGCTATGAAAAGGCTACGAGCGAGGGGAAGGCGAGCAGGAGCCGGCGAGCTCCCCGTGGCGCCGCAGCCCTTGTCCGGCTCTGCGCGCCCGGTCCTGCGCCGGCGGGGCGGACCCAGCCCCAGCCGGGAAGCCTCCTCGCCCCGGTTTCCTCCCCGGGCGGCCCGCCCCCCCGATGCCGAGGCATGGCTAGCGCTGCTGCCGGGCCGAGGGTGGCGCGGCCGGCGCGGCGGGGCGGGGAGGCGGCCGCGGCCGGCCGGGCGGGGGCGGGCGCGGCGGGAGCCCCGGCCGGCCCGCGGGCCGCCTTGCAGCAGTGCGGGCAGCTGCAGAGCCTCATCGACATCTCGCTGTCCAGCCTGCGCGGCCTCCGCACCAAGTGCGCCGCCTCCAACGACCTCACCCAGCAGGAGATCCGGACCCTGGAGGTACCGAGCCCGGCCCCCCCTCGGGCGGCAGCCGCCGGGTGCCCCCCGCCCTCCCGGGCCGCAGCTGCAGGGGACTCGCTCCTCCCCGCCCTAGAGCAACTGGGGGGGGGGCCCTGAGGGTCAACCCCTCCTTCCTAGCCCTGCAGCCCCTGATGGGGACCCCCCCCCCACGACTGCACCTGGGGGGCTCTGGTCCCTTAGAGCAACAGCTGAGGGGGGGCCCTACTAGCCCTGCATCCCTTGACGGGGACTGCACCTGACAGCACCTGGGGGGCTCTGGTCCCTTAGAGCAACAGCTGGGGGGGCACCTACTAGCCCTGCAGCCCCTGACAGGGACTCCCCCCTAACAGCACCTGGGGGGTCTGGTCCCTTAGAGCAACAGCTGGGGGGGCACCTACTAGCCCTGCAGCCCCTGACAGGGACTCCCCCTAACAGCACATGGGGGGGCCCCTGTCCCTTAGAGCAACAGCTGGGGGGCACCTACTAGCCCTCCAGCCCCTGGCAGGGACTGCCCCAACAACACCTGGGGGTCCTGTCCCTTAGAGCAACAGCTGGGGGGGGGGCCCTACTAGCCCTGCAGCCCCTGACAGGGACTGCCCCTGACAGCACCTGAGGGCCCTGTCTCTGAGAGCAACAGCTGGTGGGCCCTTAGGCCAGTCCCTCCCCTCCATCTCCCCCCCCCCCGTCCAGTTCACTACCCTGCAAACAGTTGGCGAGGACTTGCCCCAGCCTTGTAACAATAGAGGGCCCCCCTGACAACAACTGTAAGGCATTTCTCTCCCCCCATCCCACCCCATACTACCCTTGAAACAACTAGAGGGGTTTCCTTTTCCTGCTCTCTTTCCCCCCCCCCCTCACCTCCCCGCTTTACCAGCTGCTAGGACCTTGGAAGTACAGAGAGCATGGCTATACATCAGGGCACCCACACAACTGGGGGCTCAGCTAGAGTCACCCCTGCACTGATCCGTTTAGTCCTGCACAATCCATGTGACAATAGAGGGGACTCAGTGTCCTCTCCCAGCACCTATGCATTTCCCTAGTCCTATAACAGCTGTGTGTGTGTGTGAATCTTCCCCTTCCTAGCCATGCAAACTGGGGGGCTCCTTATGGTGGGTGCAAGGATGCCCTTATCTCTCAACATCCTCTTCTGCACTTCCTTATCTTGTATTATAACAGCTGTGGTCTCCCATCAAAAGGCACTCCCTGGATAACTCAGTCTGTGGTTAAATGAGAGCTGAAGGAAGTCATTGGATGATAAAGTTTAATAATAAACTGGAGAGCTGCATGTGGGAGAAGGACTCCCCTTTGGGAAGGTCTAGTTACTAGGATCCCAGGCTTGCTGCTTTAGTTTGCAGGGTTTGCTTGGAGAGTTTGGGGAAACCGCTTTGTTTTGTTCTTCTAAAACCACTTTCTGAAGCTGGTGGGTAGTAAACATGGGCTCCGAACATCACTGTGGAAGTAGAAGCTGCTGTGGCCTGGGGATGGAAATGGGAATGATGTGAGCATGATTTAGAAAGTCTGTTGGTGGCTGGGACCTCCCACCAGTCAGTTCTGAGGCTTGGAGATACACCAATCTCCCTCTTGCTATCTTCCCCTGACACTCGCTTTTTGTGACTCTCCATTTCCTGCTCTGCATTTTCAGGCCTATCTTTCTATTACTGGCTCCTTTTCACTGATCCTGCTTATTTCTCTCCTGGATAACTCACAGATAACACCAACCAGTTTAGAAGATAGTTATGTTGTTTAGACAGGTTGTATTAAATTCTTCTTGCTCCCAAACGTGTGACGTATTCCCATAACAGGAACTTAATGCTGGATCTTGCCATAGCTTTCGAATGCTGGTGTTTTTTTTTGTCTCTTTTTAATGCTGAAACTGCTTTTTTTGCCTTGTTCAATGTTTTGGTGTTGTCATATCCAGGAGAAGCAAAACATACTTTTTTTTTTTTTCTCCATGTGAACTCAGGCTTTTGTTTGTGCTTAGAATAAAGTATTATATTAATGCACTCCAGTGGGCGCTGCTGCTGATGTGGTAGAAACAAAGGGGTGAGTGCTCCCACACGTCTGGAACCTCTAGGAACATCTGTATGAGGCCAGTTATGTGTTTGTTAGACGTGCTTTTAAAAACAAGTATCCATAAAGAAGTGAGGTATTTAATAGAATGAGTAGAACAATAGGGGACCGCTCATTTAGGGCAATCTGTCCATTCTCTCTCTTTTGCCTTCCCCCCAAACAAGGTCTTCAAAAGAAGAGAAAACCAACACTCCTCCTCATGTATCAGCATTGCCTAGATTTTGGTGGGTGTACTCTTGTGCTCAGAACATGCAAAGATCTGCTAATCAGTGTGCTTTGAAAATGACAGACACAGTACCAAGAAACAGATAATCTAGGAAGAGTCCTAAAGAAACTTCAGTTTGTAGGGAGATGGTGACTTGGCCTCCTGACCTTGACAGGTGAAAACCACTTTCTGGTCCTAAAAAGTTTTGCTTTTGTTTTCTCTCCCTTTGTGTGTGTGACGACCCCACATACATGTCTGAATGTCACTTTAAATATTTTACCCACTAAATAACCAAACAGATGTTTCCAGTAGTCATGTATGATAGTGAAATGTGTACTTTGGTAATAAGGCTGTATTTTCTCATTGCTTGGGGGTGTGAGAAACTGATGTGCTATTCAGTGTAAGCACAGTACCTCTGCAGCGCTCCTAGCCAAAGAGAGACATGAGGACTGATACTCCAGGTTGCTCTGCACTTTGTACAATCATCCACCCCTTCTCCTGCTGACCCAGTGTAAAGGAGGAGCAAAAATACTGCAGTTCTGATCTGGTGGCCTTTCATACCCACTTGGCACTTTGTAAATATGCAGGCAACAGAGAATCAAGCTCTGGGTGTCGGAGGTAGTGGCTTTTTGTTTATTATTTTACTTTCAGAGATAATAAAACCAATCATATTGTGTGTTGACTAGTAGGTGAAGGGGATTCAGCATAGTCCATAAACTTGACTAGAAATCAGGGCCTGGCCTCTGGAAAGTTTGGCTTGCTGTACATGTGGGGTCTTGGGCAAGTCACGTAGTGGTTTTGGAGATGACTGTTATTAATCATTTGAATTTCAGTAGTAGTGCCTAGAGCTGCTTGGAAGACATTTGACTTTTTGTCAATAAACTGAGCATTGTTTGGCTGGAAATATGAAGTTTTTGGCTGAAAAGCTATTGATGGAAACTGAGACTTTTCCAGAGAAAGCAGACTTTTTTTCCATTTAAACCCCCCCCCCCCAATCTTCCGTCAAAACAGTTTTGACAGAATTATTTAACTAGCCCTAATGGAGACCCCAACGTACTAGGTGCTGTTCACGCATGTAATGAAAAGACAGCCCTGGCTCCATGGAACTTGTCTACGTGGGGAAAGTTGCCTTGGAATTAGATCGGGTATGAATTTAAACGAACATAGCCCTACCAGTGTAAGCTTCCATGTGGTCACTCTTATTCTGGAAGAGTACCAGTGTGGGTAGTCACACTGGGTCTTACTACACCAGTATCACTGGAAAACTTTCCCCTATAGCCAAGCTCAGAGTATGTGATGGAAACACAACAGGTGGATACAACAAACGGACTGGGATCGGAGAGGGGTGCCGTGGGGAAGGGAGGACACGATTTTGGTTATAAAATGGTGGTTTTTGCAGAAGAAGGGGCTCACTTTCTGAGACCTAATCACTTGGTTGCACTTGTGTAAGTTGAGGGCAGGATTTGGCCCAGTATATTGAAGGCAAAGCTGTCCCTCTTGGGAGCAAGAGGCCGGGGTCGGAGGTGGGGAATGTGAAGTTTGTTTGCTGCCTTCCTGTGTGTGTGCATTTCCCAAGTGTCCTGTGTTGGCTATGCCGACACTATGAGTTTACAGCGGCACCGATGCTGCTGGGAGACTGCTCGTGTAGCCGCTCTATGCTGAGGGGAGAGAGAGCTCTTCATCAGCATAATTAAACCACCTCTAATTAGCGGCGGTAGCTATGTCGTCAGAGCATCTCACACCGACAGAAGTACCGGTGTGGACAGTGCTATGTTGGTGGAACTTATGTCGTTCAGAGTGTGTGTGTGTGTGTGAACAGCGCACCCCTCTGAGCGACATAAGTTATACTGATAAGTGCTAGCTTAGTTTCAGTGTTCTATCTTTGTGATTGTGCTCTGGTCCGACCCCCTTCAGTGTTCACGCCTTATTCTGTCAGAGGTACGTAGTACCGCTTAAACTTTCTCCCAGCTGTCTGTTGGCCATCAGGAGCCCCTCAGGTATGTGCGCTCCCATGCTCCCAGATAGAAGGAAGATCTGGAGCAGTGTTCTGTAAGCATTTTCAGGGTGAACAGTAGCAACCTGGGTGGAAAAAATGTTCTAAAATTTGAGAAAATGTATCTAAATGTTTCCAGTATGTTTTCAGAGCTTGTCGCTGGCTGTGTGGTTACTTTTGGCAACTGCTCTCTTGCTTGCACATATTTCTGTTCTAACTGAACAGCTGAACTATATAATATGTAAAGAGCACAAACCCATGCAGCAAAGCACTGAGGCATGTGCTTAAGTCCCACTGGACAGAGCTTAAGCACACAGCTAAAGTAAAATATACCCTTAAGTGCTTTCCTGAGTAGGAATGGACCACTGAATTAAGGCCTCTGCCTTTAGAGATGAGCACTCTGCTCTGACTACTGCAGCATTTCATGGGTAGCATCGGGCCTGATGGCTATAAAGAACACCCAGATTAGCAATGTTTTTACCATGCTGCTTTTTTTTATTTCGGGATTTGTCGGGAAGCCAAGAGCACAGAGCAGCTCTTGGAAACAGAGTTTTGTGTAGTGCAGAAGATGAATTTTAGATCCGTGGGAACTGCTTGCAGAGAGCATGTGAGTGCAAACCCTTTAGCAAATGAGCTAGCTGCAAAACTTTCTGCTGACAGTGTGGCAAGGCCCTTTGGATGAAGAGTAAGGGGGTTCCCCATAGCATAGATTATGCAGTGTTTAGTTTGCCT